TCTAGGTACTTCAGGATAGGAGGGTGGACCATGCCCTCCTAAGAGCGTGCAGAGGAAGACTGTCAATTCCTTTCAAGTATAAGGTGAAGATCCATCTTTACCGAGGGAAAAGTGGTAAATATTAGACATACATGCAAGTAGAAAAAGTACTACAACTCCACCAAAAGCAGTGTGGATATAAAAAGCAGGAGGCCTACACACAGAATTTGCCATCTGACCTAACGGGATACCTACTCAGAACATGAATACAACATGCTCATTTTCCAGTCTAAAAAGAACTGCAGATTTCCCAAGGTGAATTCAGTTCCACATATAAAAGCCAAGGAATTCTAAGGCTTTTGTTCTGCAGACTACAAAGCTGGCTACAGGGTTGTAAAACCCAGATCCTCAGATACAGAGAAAGAAAAGGTTCGGGAAAGACAGTTCATCAGACCACCATAAATTTGTACTACTAGATTGTAATCCTACAAACAGCTTTAGCCTCAAAGAATATGCATTCCCTAACAGGTACACTGCCAGGTAGTGGTGATAAAATCCCATGCCTCAACAGTGCAATGGCCCCTAGCTGCACTGCTCTACAAACCACTTACTGTCAAGCACACCAGGAGCCGTACTAAGCAGTATGCTATCCCTATGCAGTTTGCAGGACTGCAGCTGTCCAGTGGAGTATCAAGAACAACTGTCCAGCTATCAGGACTAGTGAGCATCTCAGGTCTTACTAAACTTCTTGTTAATCGATACTAGCTGGCTGAATATGGTTCCAAAATGCTATATGGAGACCGATGTCTCCTTTATTATTAATCATACTTCGAAAGCTCAGCTTGATCACACTCATATCTGTAACTGCTCTGCAGACTTCAGTTCAAGATCAAGTTGAGACTCTAGGTGAGACCCACTTAGAAAGTTCTCTCAATTAATAATGCAAATTTCTGCCTCCCATTCATGGGGGAATGATGAGATCATAACGTACCTGCTGTACCCTTTTCACACAACCTAAAAGTCAGCTGCTGCCTGAAATCACCAGAGCTTCCTCTCAAAACCCTCAGCTAACCTGACTGCTGCTAGAGGCAAAGCATTTGGCCCTTTTTTACTAGAGCTCATGTCTGAGGAAGATACTCTTAGAACAAACCCAATCGCTTCTTGACTACTGTATTTCTCAAAAGCCTCTGAATCTATTGTCACTCACATCTCACTGGAATAACTTTTTAAAATTTAGTTTACACTAAGTAAAAATTTTAAAAGTTATTAAGAAAAGGGGAGAGGTAAGAAGGCAGACAAGACAGTGAGGGGATCTGTTTAGGAACCAAACTTCTTAAATAAAATTAGAAAATGCTTATATTGAGAATATGTAAGCATATACATTTTTCTATAGAATAGCATTTCTTAATGGAGACTAGCTAGTCATAACAGAAGTCAGATTTAATCAGATATCTGCAATAAAACATCTCAGCAACTAGCTCACAACAATTCATTTTAAAAGACAGGGATATTGGCAGATTTCCTGTGTCTTTCTCGCACTCACTTTTTCCATTATTTCCCCACACTGTGAACCTCCTAATGCTATGAAGATAGATGCAAGAGTGGTCCTTTCGGTTTTAATGGGAGTATATTGGTTATAATCTGGCATTCAAGAAAGTTTCCATTTCTACACAGGTTTTCACTTATTTTTCAGTTTAAAAATAAGACTGTACTACTTTGCTGTGTTAAGTAGAGCTGCTCCTACAGTGCAAAAGTAACACTGCTAGCAAACCTCAAAGCTGTTCTGCGACAAAGCCGTGTTGGCAGAACTTTCAGAGAATTTGCTTTTAGATTAGAGGCAGAATTCTATGCTAGCATAAATGAGAAAAACTTCACTGAACTCAATCATGTTACGTATGCTTACTTACTGCAGCTCTGAACTGACATTAAGTTTCTATAATGCAAACATATTTAGCTAAAGTGGAATTTAAACAGAATCGGTTCAAGAATTTATCTCCTACATGTGTATAATACATCAATACTGACTTCTGTGAACATTCTGAACCTTGTAGTCACTCAAGAATACCTTCACGCTACTTACTAAATATCATGACCGTGCTACACTCAGTTTGGGTTTTTGTTTTTTTTTTTAATATGATAGTCTTCAAATTCAAGAGCTCAATGATAAAATTCTAGTTGCAAGACCTCTTTCTGTATCAGCTAGGGGCACTCAATAAAATAACATAAATCTGACATTTCATAAATTCTGAATGTTTAACTTCCCTAACTACTTTCTAAAATGCTTTTTCAGCATGTTGCACCCCAGTCTTTCTCAATCACCAATCACAACAAGCTTTTACTCTCACAACTTCATACAACACAAACAACCATGACATTTAGCTAAACACAGATGCCCAGTGCTATTTCAGATGCCCTTGGATAACCAGGACACTTTGGGCTGACAGATGCGACAAAGAACTTACAAGAAGAGCTGCACCCCTTTCAGAGCAGTAGTCGAAAGCAGCTCAACTGAGTCCCTCTTGCCAGCGAGAGAAAGCTACGTAACAGTAAGGATCAGGCTGCTGAGGTAAGCTCATGGGCTTGAGAAGGCCATAGTAAGGCCTTCTTTCTTATCTGCTCCCCTATTCCCACCTGAGAAAGGAAGGTTTTTTTTATATCCTCTATGAAAGCCGAGTGGATAATGAGTATGTTAAATCAGCTACTGAAGGCAGGCTTCAACAAAAGTGGGGAAGTATGGTGCCCACAAAACTAACGAGTGGTACTGCTCCTCTGCCCTGCTTTAGCAGCTGTGTAATCCCAGCTTAGGAGAGGCCCGTGATTTTGGCAGGTTGCCAACGTTTTCCCAAAGGAACATAAGTGAGAAAAGAGAAATTGATTTTTAGACTTTTATATCTTACCAGATCTTAACAGAATGTCATTGGTTTCGAAAAGTAAAAGGCATTTCAGTTGTCTGAGAATTATTATCTTGCCAAATATCACGATCTCTTGCAAACAAAGGAGGTGCAAGACCTTCTGGAAGAAAAATCAGTACGTAACTTAACTACAGGAGTATTTTTAAGCCCAGGTTGCAACCACAGGTTACTCACCCTAGGATTGACTTTACCTTGAATGTAGTTGTTCAGGCAATGTACCCAAAAGCCTGTTGTTATCACTTTAATGGCAAAATCTTTGCCTACTCACTCCATCCCTGCTTTTTTTTTTTTTTTAAACTGTTACACTGTTATTGGCGATAAAAATGACAAATGAAGCGTAGACTGGGTTTTTTAGGATTCTTAAGAATTTGCATCCACTGTATCACAATTCACCAACTACTTCAGGTAATTTGGCTAAGCACATTGGTAATACTTGACTATAAAAGTCAGGCTGTCCACACATAAATCAGATATCTTCCCAATAAAATACAATACTTATTTTAGACACTTATTCACTTAAAGCATTTCAACAAATAAGAAATTTAAGAGGCGGTGCTTATGTTGAGACCCTAAAGTTTAGTTCAATATGTTGACCACAGAGTTATACAGATTCAAATAAACTTAAAATTTGGATACTTTAGCCCCAAAACTGCACCCAGCTCTCTCAGTGAAAATAAAACATACATTTTTTTCAGTGTAGCTCGCCTAAGAATTGGTGTCACCAAAAAACAAAGAAACAATAGCTCTTCAGAAGTTTAAGGCCAATTTGCCACAGATTATAGTAGGACATCATTATTATCCCACTATTTTCCCCTCCCCACTGTGGAAATAATATACTACAGGTGTTTCAGAAAGACTTTGATTATCAAAAGTATGTAGTCTCTTTCCTTCCATATGTAATTGAGCCCAGTGGAAGCAGTCTTATTTAGGCTAAATCATGCCTTACGGGACGCACTTATGAGGAAGAAAGAGGACATGCAACTGGCATTTGAGACATACTGCCAGTGCAAAGCTGCCAAAAACACACAGCAGGGAGCATGTTTTGGCTACCATGAGCAGAATAAGCTTATACACCTTTACCACTGCCAGCTGGCATTTGTCTCCAAATACAAAATATTCACTAGGCAGTTTGGAGACCGCACATACTCTTAATCTTAAACTATGCTCCCATAAAAATGTGTTGCTCAGATATCTCACTAACCGTGCCCATCTCCTACTCTACTGCCAAATGAGAAAGACTTTGTATGATACAGAAGAATCCTACGTTTCTCCCTATACAAAAAGAAAAATGTAAGTATATCGTAATGTGCCCTAGAACTTAGAATAAGAGCAAATCTAAGAGAGTTAGAAGAATCTTTTGCCCACATCTCAAAAAGCAGAAATACTGTCATGACTCCATTATGCATGGATACAAAATGTGAAATCCAGAGATCCAGAGTACCAAGAATACACACCAATGAGTGGTAACAGTGTCTGAGGCTGTGATTATAAACTATGCTATCATGTTTAACACAATCTCTAACAAACCTCACAATAGAGATGCTCCCTGCCCTGTGTGCTGGGGTAGGTTCATGGATAGAAGATTAATGTTCCCCTCCATCTGCTAAGCAGTATATAGGTCCCTTGGGCTTCGCACCAAGGGTACTTTGCCCTTAGGATGAGACAAGGAAATGGGAATTTGTGTTCGTTTCTACATGCATCTAGTACTCCCAGCAACACTCCAATTTGCTAAACATGCATTATTTCAACTTTATCTACCAGAAACATATTTTATCTCCATAGGTCAACTGTCATTCCAATTAGATTTTCAAAAAGAACACTTCAAAGGAGAACAAACCAACAGGGGGGCACTTTTCACTTTTAAAGCGCTTACCTGATACAGTCTGCACTGGTACCTTCCCTGTAAGTGCTCTATTCATTAACTTTGTGCTGTATTTTCAAAGTGGCTCCCCTTCTTTAGATTTCCCTTTCTCTATTGCTGATAGCCTGCTGTCATGGACCCAGCAGCTCTAAAGGAAGAGAGGTACCAGAGACTGCCTTGCAAAGGAGAGGGCACTAATTAAAATCTTCATTTCTTTCAGGGAATTCTGTGAGTGGATTTAAACTTACCCCTTAACCGTACCTTTGCGCCTGAGAACTGGAAGCAAGTTAGAGGGAGCTTGACACTGGGGTGGTTTTCAAGGATCAGCCAGTTGGACATCCTGGAAGAACAACAAGAGGAAAGAGCAGTTACAAAGTATAGTGTCTGCCTTATTCCTTCACAACAATGCACCACCAGGACAATGATATTCAGGGCAAAATTAGGGAATATCTTAGCACTATCTTCAGTATCTATGAACGCAAACCAAAAACCAGAATGCTGCTCCTCTGAAGTCTCTGAATACGAATCACTCGGCTCCTTGACATGCTTTCTTCCTACTCCCACTGAACACCCTTATCAATTGCAACAAAGCCTTTCGTCAGTCCCAGCTCAAGAGAAAGTCCGTGCCAGAATCCCCTGTGAACACCTAAGGGAATTTCAGGGCTGGCCAGCTATGTTTGCCTCAACACTGAACACATACAACTAACTTCCCCTCGTCTACTTAACAGAACTTTGCAAAAAGCTGAAATGCATTTGCAACTGAACTATGAACACAACAAAACTATCTCAAACGAAATGAATTTCAGTAAGATTTCAATAATGTGACCTCTATGAATCCTTTTGTTCCAAAGGGGCTCCGTTCCTGTCAACCCACTCCTCCTCAACAAGCAAAGCAGGACAATAGAGAAAGATGTTAAGTATGCTTTAAATAAACAAACAAACAAATAATATACGTATATATACATACACACACACACACTTATACGCAGATTACTCTATACACGCTCTTTCATCTTCTGTGAAGAACTGCCTCATCTCAGTCAGACTTTACCGAAGGGGAGAAATCTCCAGCCACAAAGGACAATTCTGAATTTCTTACCTATCAGCAGCACTACAAAACAGTGACTACTGAACTAACAAAGTGCTCTGCCTGTCCAGCCTTTAGGACTTGCAATATTACTTTCAAAACACTTATTACCTTGACCTCCAAATGAGGAAATACGCTAAATCAATGATACCTGCTTACCAATATTGACCAGTTACTAGGCTTCATAAAATCCAATCACAACAAACAGATTGACTTTGTATAAAAATCACAGGCTTATCACAAGGTTATTTCCATATCACAGTCCTGTTAAAACAGACAGAGCTTCTCCCATATTTCTCATCTGAACCTAGTGGTATTTGGTCTTTTTCTTAAGCTTCCATCAACAATAACTCATGTATTTCAGCTTTTATTTAAAAGAAAAATTCTTTCCCTTTTATGTGTAGAGAAGGCTGGAAAACACACCCTGAATATGACTAAATACACCAAGCTACTAAAAAGGATTTGAAACTTCTTATGTCTTCTCACTACCAAGTCGCTCCCAGGTCTTTTGGAAGCTGACTTACAGTTGAAAAGCTCAGATCACAATGCTATAAAATGCACATTGTTAAGAATATTCAAGACAAAAATACAGCTCAAGATAAAGGGCCAGAATGCAAAGCGGCAGCTTCCCTTCCCTACCCAGCGTACAAGGTGACATTCCTCCACCCCGAAGTCAGTATTCCACTATGCTCTTTTAAGCAACAGCCTGCCTTCCTCCACGTGCCATTGCTTCATTCCCACTCTGCAACCTGTACAGGTAAGCAGCCCCTGGAGAGAAGAGATACTGAAGTCTGTGCATCCTACAGAGTGCAATTATTCAAGCCTTTATACAAGCCCATTGTACCTCTACAGAAAGGCCACACACAATCCAGCCCACAGAGAAAATATAGTAGTCTGGATTGATGGTATCTATTTACATTGCTGCAGATTACACTCTTT